GATCCATGTTTCATTCTGCCATAAATTCTCGAAGACTTACATGACTGAATTATCTTTGTCTGAATTCTGAAAATTATCCCGAGACAACTAAATAGTCGCTTCGGAATTAAAAACTTGATATTTACTGACTTACTTGACTTGATAAGGTACGACTTCAAGTTTCCAGGTAAATTTGGACTAATGGTCTGTATATCAGACCGCCACATTTAACCAGGCTGAACAACTATTATACGTCGACCTTACATCATGAACATAGACTGTAAATCACGAACATGAATTTATAACTCTGTACTATATAGGGCTGCTCCAGTATTAACTGGTCCCGCAAGTACAAAGAAATTTGCTGATCTTGATCTTTAAAAATCATAACTTGAAATATCATGACTGATAAAATATCTGACATGACTGACTTGCAAGGTTGTTATTACATGAAATCATACTGCTCCGGTTTCAGCTTCAAGCCTCCATGGTATACCCGGCTGAATGGCTATTATTTCAAGCCTCCATGGTAACCCGGACTATTGACTCTTATACACTGGAAACCGTTACCTTAATAATGACTTGAGAATTGTAACAACCTTTAACATGAAAATTTTGTCTTGAACATGATTTACTAATCTGACTTAGGAAAATTGAGTCTCTTCCTCGAATTAAATCAAGGAATTTCTCCCTGAAGTCTACCAATTGATTGGCAAAATGGCAGTTTTCAATAGAAATATCTGAAAAACATGATTATTAAGATTTGTTTAGCATAAGTGCTTAAAAATCTCCTGACAAGTTGCTAACTTAACTTGAATAAATCTAGAATTGAATCTAGAGTTTTCAAACTTAATTCCTTTCTAAGGTTCTGAATCCACCCGTCCACGATACGGGGATCTCCCTGCCCGGAAAATTTCTCAGCATGATATTCGCGGAACTGTGCGACTACTGTGGCCTGAGTAGGAGCCGGATGATCGGGTTCCCTACGGGGCGGCATCTGAACATTGAGAAAGTTCAAAATCATTGAACACGTGATAAAATTCTGACTGATTACCAAGGCACACAGATCTCTTGACGAGTTGCCGAAAATGGCCGATAATACTGACATGAATCCTGAGGAACTCTAGAGTCATATCGGAAGATACTAAATTCTAGAGTCATGAACGTACTGAATTCTAGAGTCATATCTGAACTCTAAGGTCTGAACCTGATTCGAGCATCTTAACTAAGTCCTGATCCATAATTTCTGAGCATAGACAAAGTAATATGTTTATAACTGAAAACATAAATCAGCACTTACCTGTAGTCGGCGGGGCGTGAGCATGACGGTTCAGGTTTTTCTGAAAATTACTGACTGAAAAACTTTTCAGAGACGCAGAAACGTGCTCTGATACCAATTGTAACACCCCGCCTTATCGTGAAATCAGAGTGCGAAAATTTCGCAAAGTTATTTAAAAATAAAATCTTTTACTTTGCGAAAACTGATTCGGGGTGCTACCTTATAAAAAGTGACTTAATTTGGAAAACCATTATCTTAATTTTTAACAAAATTATACGGTTTACCGAAAGCATAAATTTTTCCAAAAGTCCTATCAAAATATAAGTTCATCAACGTCAAAGTCAGGGGAAACGTAAAATCATCATAATATATACAATCATATCATAAAAGTCCCGAGGCACCCGTCATCTCACGCTCTCGGCCCGACATCCTAACCTGAAAAACATGATAAAAGTGGGAAGTGAGCACTATGACACTGTGCTCCGTGGAAACTCATACTAATGTAAACATTGAAAATAATAACAACATCATGATCTTGGCATATACATAACCTGAACATGAAACCGGTAATAACATGAACATGAATCTGATATCATCACGTGAACGTGAACAATGACCGTTACCTCATCTGCCGGCACAAACTAATGACAGACACCATGTGCACACTCTAGTGGGCAGACTAGGCCACTAGAACCCAGAATGGACCGACGACCATTCCGAGCGGATACATGACATGAA